GTGTTTTTAGGGTTATTAATTAAGTCCATGTACTCAGACCAGTAATATTTGGGGTCACAAGTTTTGGCCATGGATATTTAGTGGGTCAGAAGACACGAAGTTTGGGAACCTCTGCTTTATACAACACTGAAGGCCACTGGGCCGTCCCTGCTCTTATCATGACTCAGCACTTTCAGACAGGGCTGCCCGCCTTACATCAGCCTGGTGACATCATCAGTTTGGAAACTGAGCTGCTGCTGTGACACGGCTCAGACAATAAACCACCTGAAGCTTTAGTTTACGCTTCAGTCAAACGTAAGCTCAAACAGAAGTTTAATTATAAAAAAAAGTGTGGTGATGTGTGTGTGTGTGTGTGTGTGTGTGTGTGTGTGTGTGTGTGTGTGTGTGTGTGCTGCAGCCAGGCTGCAGTTTTCTGGCACTTTTTCTGGGAATGCACAAAAAGGGAGCGACACATCAGAGTTGGTGAAAGGCCAGCAGGTCTGGATGAATGCACACGGTCCTGCTGAGCCAGGCAGAAGCGGGCCTGCTCACAGAGCAGGGAGGATTATTGTGGTCCGGGGCCACGGCGGTCCATCCTGACCCCCCTGATCCACACGTGACACCTGCTGCTGCAGGTTCAGCCTTTCAGCGAGGACATGGGAGAAAAATAACTCAAAACTTTAGTTCAAAACGGTTTTTATTGACAGCAAAACCAAAGTGTCTTCGTTTCAGATCTCTCAAATCGGTAAAAAAGAACATAAATATGCTTAAATATAATTAAAAATAACTTAAACAGTAACAAAGGAACCAGCTGGAAAATGAACGCTGAACACAGAACGTCTTCACCGGATGTGGAACCCTTTCCCTTTAGAAACCATGACAACAGCAACACAAACACTTTGAATCAAGTCACAGAAGGTCCAGTGTTTCAACAAGTTCTGGGTTTCTGCAGAGAGAGGCTCGGTCCGCTCAGCAGCTCCGTGTTCTGGCTTCTCCCCACTTCTCTGGACTCGCCACAGAYGCGGTACCAAACATTTATGATATAATCCGTCTGCACATCCTACGAGCTGAAAATTCAAAAGCACACATGCTTTCTTTGTTTTTAGTTTTTTTGTATCGTTTCCACCTCTGACAGTCCCTCTGCATCTCTTCTGGATTGTAAACTCCAAACAGCCCGGTCCAAAGGGGAACTTCTCTGAAACTGGTGACGTCCCACACAGACGGGTGGTTGGTCTGGGTTTCCAGCACTCCTGTGCAGACACAAGCAGTTTCTGGACAGGTGTGGAGTGTTCGCAGCTTCAGCGCTCAGGCAGGTTGATGATGGGAACCCACTGGTCCATGCAGCGGCTCTCTCTGCAGAACCGGTTCAGTTTGCTCAGAGCCGGGTCCTTCCAGGATGTGGAGAGTGGGCTCTGAAAACAAACACAGTTATTAATTACAGCTRCATAATCCATGACCTTCATTATGATCATTTATTGACACATCATAAAAAAATTAATCTATATCTAATATAATTAATTTTATTTTTTTATTCATTTCATTT